GGAAGAGGTCGAGCCAGGAAGGAGATGTGTGTTAGGGATTATGTCTAGATTGTGTCTGGGGCTAGGCAATGAGAAGTCATCAAACCATGGAGTAAGAGCATCAGCTTCCCACTTTGAAAAGTATTGCGTGGCATGGAGGACGGATTTGGGGCTTGTAAAACTGGACACTAGTGACTGGTTAGGAAGCTGCTGAGGTAGGCAGGTGAGAGATGATGGGGCGTAACCAAGAAATCAGCAGGGGAGAAGGAAGAGTGTGACCAAATGAACAAATGGTTAAGAGGCAAAATTGACTTACAGATGGAGGAAGATGAGTCCAAGATGACTCCCCAGTTTCTGGCTTGGATGACCAGGCAGCTGTTTGTATCATTATTAGGAAAAAAAAAAAAAAGGCAGACGAACAGAGCCAGCTTGGAGGAGGAGAATGGCTTCCGTGTGGGGCACGTTGATGCTCAGGTTTTTATGGAAACAATAGAAATACAGGTCTCGAGTTTAGGCTGCAGGTGTATATCTGGGAGTTGTCAACCTAAAAATAGTATCTTGAGCCATAGTATCACCCAGCAAAGTGAAAAAGGAAATGAAAGAAGCCAGCCAAATGTAGAACCTAGACCAGTGGTCAGCAAACCGGGGCTCGCGAGCCACATGCGGCTCTTTGGCCCCTTGAGTGTGGCTCTTCCACAAAATACCACGTGCGGGTGCACACGTACAGTACAATTGAAACTTCGTGGCCCATGCGCAGAAGTCGGTTTTTGGCCTGGGCGAGTCTATTTTGAAGAAGTGGCATTAGAAGAAGAGGGGGGTGTCGGTCAGTCAGTCAGTCAGTGGGGTGACTGGAGACGCGGTGCAGGGGAGGCGCACGATTCATACATGAGTTGAGTGAGCCAGTCAGTGAGCAGTCTCATTGTGCAGTGGTTAGTGCTAGTCGCGTCCACAAATCGCGCACGGGTGACAAAAGTACCTACTCAAAGCATAAAGTTACCTGTATTTTTCCAACCAGCTGCAAATCCTACAGGTATTTTTGTCATCAATTTAAGAATTGTAATTATTTTGTGTTGGTGGCTTTATGATTATAAAATGAAACTTACCTGCTTAGAGGTGTTTAAATGCCTAACTTTGCTAAATAACTTCTCTCGCTTACTGTTTATTTCCTTCCTTAGCACTCATAACAACTGCAATTATTTGATGTGACTATTTATTTATTTAAAGTTGATCTTCCTCACTAGAATGTAAGTTCCAGAAGGATGTCATGTTATCTCCAGCCTTAGACACATAATAGACATTCCATAAATATATTAGTGTATTGAATTCATGTTGTTAATACTAAGTACTCAATCCAAAATTATTAATTAAGTTAATAATAATGAACCTACCTATATAGTTTAAGTTTTAAAATTTGGGCTCTCAAAAGAAATTTCAATCGTTGTACTGTTGATATTTGGCTCTTTTGACTAATGAGTTTGCCGACCACTGCCCTAGACAATAAATGCTGGTGAGCGTGGAGGAAGCAGCAGGGAGGGCCCGGTAGAGTGATACAGCAAAGCCTCGTGGGCATGTCTTCTGGAAACCAGTGCGTACCTGCTGTTCCTGATTTTATAAGAGGACACTAACCCGGAGAAGAGCAATGCCATGATCAGAACTCAGCATCCAAGAGAGAAATCTCGAACTGACAACACACCTGCCTGTACCTCACATCTCTTCCGCTTCCTATTTCTACTCCAGTTCTTCAAGTTTGTGTTCTGGTTGACCACACCCCCACCCCCGCCGCCAATGTCAACCTTCCTGTTGTGTTCCCTCTCTGCCTCCATCCTTGTCCACTCCGTCAGGCCAGTGTTGGCTTCCAGCATCCAACAAAGTTGCTGGCAGCTTTTTAAAAAGGTGCATGCGCTCTGCTCCTTCTCTCAATTCCAGAGGGCCAGCAATGATCAGGCCCAAAATGATCAGGAAAGATAGAAGCCATAGCCGAGAGCATGGATGAGATTGTTAAGGAAAAGTGTAAAAAAGGAGAGGAGAGCCCTGGCCGGGTGGCTCAGTCAGTTGGTGCATTGTCCCATACACCAAAAGGTTGCAGGTTCAATTCCCCGTCAGAGCACATACCTAAGTTACAGGTTCGACCCCTGATCAGGTGGGTACAGGAGGCAACTGATCCATGTTACCCTCTCACATCGATGTTTCTCTCTCCCCACCTCCTTTCCCTTTCTCTCTCTAAAATTAATGAAAACATATCCTCAGGTGAGGATAAAAAAATGAAATCAAAACAAGAAAACGGTGATATGAAAACCAGGGGAGGCAGCTGGTAAGCGAAGGTGGTGTCACAGTGCTGAATGCTGAATGCTGCAGAGTTTACAGGAGACTGGAGCATAAGACAATGGATTTGACAAGACTGAAGTCAGACAGTTTGCTAAGGAGACATTTCAGGCTTGTGATGAAGGCAGAGCTCAAATCGTTAAAACTGAAGGGAATGGGGGCCAAAAGAAGGCTCTTCCCTAAAATTTAATGATGGAGAAAACAAGTTTAATTAATTTACTTACGACACTGAATTCTAGCATCTACTCTGTCCGAACACTAAGATGATAAATAAAAACATTTTAAGTGTCTAGAGCTGCCCCGAACACCAAGGAACCCGCAATAGAATTGAGAACATAAGCTTCACCTAAAAAGTGAAGTGTAAAGACAAGACATTGTGGAATTGTTTGCCGTTTCCCATGCTCAGCCCTCTTCTCACTCCAATTTCATCCACACCCACAGCTTCAGAGACCACCTGGGGCACAAGCCCTCTGGCCTGACATGACCCTGAGCTGTGCGTCAGGTCCCACTCCACCCTCCACCCTCCAGATCCTGTTCCTGCCTGCACGCTGAGGTCTCCATCTCTGAGAGCGCTCTTATTCTCCTCGGGTTCTGTAACTGGGCTGGAGACTCAGTGCTGGCACCAGAACACTGAGAGCCAGCTTTGCGGCCACTTTACCTGAACTGCTTACCTCACCTCACGGACCCGGAGGCAGTGGTTTGCAAACTGTGTTTCCTGTAGACTTAGGCGTGGCCACTGGCTTATCTTTAAGACAGGAGAACAGTAAGATCTTGGATTTACAAAAGCCCATGTCCCCGACTCACTCTGTGTTTTCTGTGGCCCATTTCACTGAAATGCATCACTGGAGGAGGAACTAATCCTCTCCTGGCTGTAGGTCCGGTGATGCTTAGGGACCAGAGAGGGGGCGAGCTGGTTGTCAGTGGGCAGAGCCAGCATTGCATGCCCTGCCCCTGCCCCTGGAGCCACTGCGGTGGATCTACATGCCTGGTGCCTGAGCGACCCTGGGGTTTCCGTGGGTCCCAGCTGGAAAAGGACTGTCCTGGGCATGGTATTACCCGTGGGAGTCCAGACCTCGGGTATCTTCTCGCCATACCTGTTGTTTATTTCTTCAGTCTTCATCAGCCGCCTGCCTCCGCATCTTCCCTGTATGGGGCAGGACAATTCGCTGGAAGGAAATTAGATCAACTTCAGGCATTCCGACGTTGAGGGAGAGCCAGGCTGCTACTCCATACTTGTGGGAAAGGACTCCTGACGCAGGGGTTCCCTTCCACCCATCCCTCCGTGGAAAAAGCACAGTCTTGTCCTCAGCAGGGGCTAGAATTCCAGCCACTGCCCAGAGCCCCCGCTCTATGGTCAAGTCCAGTGAGTCCAGCATCTGGCAGGCTTAGCTTGTGTTCCAGCTGCAGTCCATGGCATGTGGGGCCCCCGCGGCCATGGGTCCTCCTGAATTCCTGGTACTCAGAAACTCTGTGACATGGTAGATACTTGTCTTAAATTCTGGGGTAATTTGTTATGCAACAACAGATAACAGATACAGTAAATTCCAAGATGAAATATTAAGCAATTGTTAAGCTTGTGTTTTCAAAGCCTATTTAATGGCACAGCTGCATTCATATGAGATAGCATCAAGGGTAATAAAAATATTTTTTAAAAACATCAAGTAGAATTTTATGAACAGCATGATCCCAACTTAAATTCATCTTCATAAATCTTGAAAGAAAAATACCCAAATATTGGCAGTAATGTTACACAGGATATGGTAATTACACATTTAATCCTTCTGCACTTTCCAGTTTTCCCCCAAATGTTCTGTAATGAGCTTATATGCCTTTAATAATCAGAACCCATAAAGGAATCATTAAATGTAACCTATAAATGTGTGTGAAGAAATTTCCATGAAATAAAAAGAAGGAAGGAAGGAAGGAAGGAAGGAAGGAAGGAAGGAAGGAAGGAAGGGAGGGTATTGCAGGGGGCTGTCCTGGGCACAGGCAGAATGCTGGGCAGCAGCCCCGGCCTCTGCCCCGGATGCAAGGAGCCGCTTCCTCCCCAGGTGTGACAACTCCGATGTCTCCGGACATTGCCAGCATCCCTGAGACCACTATTCCCGTGCTTTCGCTGCTGGTTCTTCTGCTCCTGCAAAGCAGTATTTGCAATTACAGTGACTACATTTCCAGCCCGGGAGAGAGGGCATCCCTGGGCCGAGGGAGAGGGAGGGAAAGCCCTTGGCCCTGCTGTGTAATCCTCTCCCCTACACACTGCTGCGTCTTCTCTTTATGCCGCACTGAGCTCTGCAGGCTGACCTCCCGAGTGGAGTTGATAATCTCATTACAACTAATCCTGTTTACCGCCATTCTCTTGGCAGAACAGTCTTGTCAGGACCAGGCTCTTTCCTTGCCATCCACTGTTCTTGCTGCTCCATTGTTCGTGGGGACGGTGGCCTGGCCCTGTACGCACTCATTGATAGGGCTTATCCTGTTTACCGGGAGTCTGTAGGAGGGCCTCCCCAAATACTTCCATCCCTTCCTTCAATAAATGGCTCTCTTTGATCTGCGTAAGGCAAAATAATGCTTATCAGAAGCTGGGCTTCCTTTAGCTAATGATGGGCACATCCTGTCCCAGAAAGCTCCCCAAAATAACACTTTCTGAAGTTCAGAATATTTTCAGGTTTCTCTTTCTTTGTACACTTTTTTTTTTGCAGGGTATCTCTTTATGGCAAGTGAAGAAAGGGGCTGATTTTCGTTTTTTGAGCTCAAGGCAACACAAGGCTGAATGGTTTTCTGCAGGTCACCCTCCAAACAGGAGGAAAGGACGGGACTGATGATCGTATAAACAGTGGGAACCAGGACAATGTACCAGATCAGGGCTGGCCAGGTGAGATCCCTTTTTCTATCGCTGTTCACAAGGCCACGTTATTTAACGAGGTGAGCATAAGGTCACGGCGTTAGTCATCTGAGGAACAGGGTGGTAGAAGCTAGTTCAATCCTGTGGATGAATGGTAAGTGGAATTTTACACTGCCTTGGCTTCTCTAAACATTACTTGGTGAGGAGAGATTTTCTCTCTGCAGCAGTGGTTCTCAACGTGTGGCCCTAAAGCCAGCAGCAGCACCAGGGAGCTTGTTAACAATAACTTCTCAGGCCCCGCGCCAGATACTGAATCGGCTACTGCGGAGGCGGGCCCGCAAGCTGTGTGCACAGGAGCCCTCCAGGTGGTCGGGGTGCATGCTGGAGTTCGAGAACCGCCAATCTATGTCAATACCCCCAAACTGCAGTGCCCATGCAGAATCACTTAGGACGCTGATTGAAATGCAGACTCCCAGGCCCCATCCTAAAGGCCCGGGTCACAGATCACTTGGCCTAGGGTGGGCTCCAGAAGTCTGTCTTGTCTTTTGTTTGTTTTATTGAAATCTATTTAGTTGACAACAATATTATATTAGTTTCAGGTATGCAACACAGTGATTCTACATTTATACACCTTACAATGTGATACCTGTAGGTCTAGTAGCCATCTGTCACCATGCAAGGTTGTTAGGAATTACTGACTGCATTCCCTCTGCTGTACATTGTATCTCTGTGACTCATTATTTTATAACTGGAAGTTTGTACCTCTTAGTCGCCTTCACCTTTGCAACCCCCTCCCCACAGGCAACAATCAGTTTGTTTTTTGTTTCTGTTTCTGATTTTTCCTGGGGGAGGGGTTGTTTGTTTGTTTTAAATGTGATTTTATTGATTTTTTTTAACTGATTTTTTTTAGAGGGAGAGGAAGAGAGAGAGAGAAATGTCAATGAGACAGTAACATGGATCGGCTATCTCCTACACGCCCCCTACTGGGAATGGAGCCCACAAGGTATGTGCCCTGACCAGAAATCTAACCCGCAATGCTTCAGTGCATGGGAGGATGCGCAACCAAGTGAGCACATTGGCCAAAGCTCTGTTTTGAGTCTGTTTCTGTTTTGTTTGTTCATTTGTTTTGTTTCTTGAGATTCCACATAAAAATGAAATCAGATGGTATTTGTCTTTCTCTGTCTGACTTATTTCACTTAGCATAATACCTTCTAGACCGATCCATGTTGTCACAAATGCTAAGACTTCATTTATTTTTATTGCCGAATAATATTCCATTATATATATATATATACTTCTTTATCCATTCATCTATCATGGATACCTAGGTTGCTTCCATATCTTGACTATTACAAATAATACTGAATGAACATAGGGGTGCATATGTCTTGTTAAATTAGTATTTATGTTTTCTTTGGATAAATGCCCAGAAGTAGAAACGCTGAGTCACATGGTAGTTCTACTTTTAGGTTTTTGAGGAACCTCTATACTTTTTTCCATAGTGACTGTGCCAATTTACAACCCCATCACCAGCAGGTAAGGGTTGCCCTATCTTCACATTGTCACCAACACTTGTTATTTATTGGCTTTTTGATAGTAACCATTGAGGTGTGAGATAATATCTCATTGTGGTTTTGATTTACATTTCATATGTTGGCCATCTGTGTATCCTCTCTGGAAAAATGTCTGTTTGGTCCTCTGCCCATTTTTCTATTGAACTATTTGCTGTTTTGATTTTGAGTTGTATGAGCTCTTGATAGATTTTGGATATTAACCCCTTATCAAATATATCATTTGTAAATATGTTCTCCCTTTCAGTATATTGTCTTTTAATTTTGTTTCCTTCACTGTGCAAAACCTTTTTACTTTAATACAGTCCCATTTGTTTATTTTTGCTTTTGTTGCCTTTGCCCGGGGAGACGTATACAAAAAAAATTTGCTAAGATTGATGTCGAAGAGTTTACTGATCTCAGTGACTCTCCAGCCTGTTTTTGGCACTTAACAGAGATGGTTATCCTTTGTCCCCAGCCACAGAAGGACGCCAGCGCCTACCGGAAGCCCCACAATGGTAATGGAAGGACCCCAGTAGAGCCACAGTTGTGCGGTTTGTGCACAGCACGAAGATGCCTGCGGGAGGGAGGGGACAGGTGTGGGCTGAAATCCAGCTGGCCTCCAGCTCACCAAGTAGAGTGCCTGGCACTGTGCAGTGGGTGCCTGGAGAAGAGGCCCTGTTGTTTTGCCTCTTTTATAGGACAGATATCCATATATATATATATACATATATATATATTGAGGTCAGGACTCCCTAATGGTCACAACCGGCTCAGGAGGAGGGGCTGGGTGCGGCCACAAGCCTGAGAGAACAACACACAGGTATGGCCTGGAGCCTGAGAGATCAACACAGAGCGGCGCCTGCTCCGAGCTTCCGTGGGGCAGCTGGGGGCAGGCACCCAGCAGACACACACACACACACACACACACACACACACACACACACACACGGAGCCTGCTTCGAGCCTCCGCAGCCAGACTGCAGCTTAGGCCCGCTCCCCATGGGCCTAAGCCATCAGTAGGACATCCCATGAAGGCTCCTGGACTGTAAGAGGGGGCAGGCTAGGCTGAGGGACCCCCACCCCCCAGTGCACAAATTTTGTGCACTGGGCTTCTAGTATGTCTATAATTGCATTAGATTATCAGCTGAGACTAAATTAATGTTTTATTGTCATCTCATTGTTTATGTGAAAATGGGGGCTTTAGAGCACTTGCAAATATGCTATGGGAAATAGTTAATTCATAGATGCTGTTTCATAGAGCAGTTTCAGGTTTAATACATACACTGAGCAGAAAGTACGGAAAGTTCCCATATCCCCCTCCCCACTTCCTCCTGCCCTCCCCAGGCACCCCCACTAGTAACACTGTGCAGAGGTGCAGGGCGTGCCTTGCAGCTGATGAGCCAATGTCAGTGCATGTTGTAAAGTCCGTGCTTTAGAGTAGGATGCACTCTTTGTACCGTCCATTCTGTAGGTTTTGACAAATATATGATGACACGTATTCACCATTTCTGTATCAGATGGAACCGTTTCACTGCTCTGAAAACCCCCCGTGTTCCACCTTTCACCCCTCCATCCCTTCTCTCCCCTCCCCAGGCCCTGGAAACCACTAGCCTTTTCCTGTTTCACAGCTTTGCAAAAGGTATGCTTTTTTCTTTGTGCAAAGGAAGATCTGCCAGCCCTAACCAGAGGGTGTTTCAGCCCAGAGCCCCATCGTTTTTAACATTCAGCGAGTGCTTGGCATCTAAGATCAAACCCAAATCAGGTTCTTTCTCTGGGTCACGCAGTGTAACCCATCGCCCTTGTTTCTGCTTCTCCTTCTGCCCGCCTTGCTCGCAGTCATCCGCCCTTTTCTTCGCGATGCATGTCTATGTCAGCGCTTCTGAAGGACCCACCTGCAGGGATGAGGGTGCGGGCCACTTGTGTGGGCCATGCAGCAGCCACTAGTGTCGTGGGGCCGCTGAGCGCTTGAAATGTGGCTGCTGTGATGGAGGAACTGAGTTTTCCGATTCCCTTGCATTTGAACAATGTCCACTTCACCCCATGCAGCCAGTGGCTATTGTGGTGGACAGCGCCGGTTTGAGCTTTTACTCTGGCAGATCACCCGTCCCGATGGCTTTCACCAACTCTCCCCGCACCTCCTGCCTGATCTTCCCTTCCTCTTGAATCCGCCCTGACTCATCAGAAAGGAACGGAATCCCGTCAGACCCTGGGGCTGGAATACCCAGCGCCGTGTCTGTCACATTTATTGGCACCAGCTAAGCACACGTTTTCTCTTACACATAACGTGACGATGCCCTGTAACAGTTCCTTCGCTGATGAGGCTCTTCCACATCCCTTTTCTAGACATTTTTATGTCTTCCTCTATTAAGTGTTTTCTGTTCCAAACTCTATTCCTAGAAAAAACAGTAGAGTTACATCGCTGGTGCTTCAGTTGGCAGTGGCGCTAAGCCATTGTTGGGGGGCTAACGCATGGCATGTTAGATGCTCGTGGCACGACACTCGAGGCATGGAAAAGGGAAAGGAGATGAAACAGTCACATCGGAAGCAATGAAGGGTGTCCACCCAGGAGTCAGCGTGGAGTGAGTAAGGGGCTGTGGACGCTGGCTCTCAGGGGGATGGAGGTCCAAGCACATCTGTGCCCCTGACAAGCCCATGGTCCTGTGACTCAGTCTCTCAGGGACCCAGCTTTCTCCTTCAGAAAACGCAGGGTGTGGACCAGATTCTCCAATTTAAGGCGGCTCTTAGATTCCAGGGCTCCTTGTGTTCAGAGCAGTCTGGGAATGACCGTGAACATTGAAACGCACTTTAGTCACCCAGAATATTTCACACAATCCCATCCCCACGGCCCCCTTCCCCAACCAGCAATGTCTGTGATGAACACAGCAACTTTGCTAAGGACAAGACCCAAACAGTGTTTTAAGAACCAACAAAACCCAGTCCAGAGTGAGTCATTGGTCCGACCTACTACAGTGGCTGAACCAGCCACAGGAGTTAGTGAATGGCCTATATGGTGTCCTCAAAACATCTGCACAAACCTTTTATTTCCAGTGCTTTGAACAGAAATAAACACAGTCATTAAGCCAAACTCTACATCCCACCAAACAGACAGGAAGTTCGAGTAGAAGCGTGGACTCCCTGGCATGCCCATGTGAGTGGTCAGTTCGATGCCTGGCCTCCGTTATATAAGCAGCAGCAATGTTCGCATGTAAAAATAGGGTGAGCTGGTGCTGGAGTGAGACCCATGTTTTGGAACTCTTAATGTGCACATAATTGCCACTTAGGCTTCCAAGCTAAACGATTCGCTAATGGCAGCTCAGATGCGACATGACACAGAGTGAAATCATTGATTCATGACTCGGGAGACTCTGAGTAGGTTGTCCACAGCCAAGGGCTAAATATTTTTTCTCTCCCTCCTTAAGCCTTGCTTCTGCTGCCCCGTGTGCAGAATGCGTGTGGAGGTTCCATGGTGACTAAATGAAACCAGGGCGTAGCGTTGCAAACTCTTCCCTCAGCCTCCTTGGCCCCACTGCAGTTGTACATCTGTTTGCATCGTCACATGACTACTGTCTCTCTTTCCTGTGTCTGAGTTTCCTCCTCTGTGAGGGGGGACAATGATGGAATCTACTTGATTGAATACTTGTGAAATTTAAGTGAGATAATACACACAAAGAGCTTAGGACAGTGCCTGGCACATAGCGAGGACCCCATAAACGTTAATGTGTTTTTTTAATGATGATGATGATGAAAGTTAATGTGTAATAAGCACTTCATAAATGAGAGTTCATCTTTTATTATATACTATCGCTGTTGAGAGAATATGTGCCCTTTTGAACATCAGTTACATGGAGGTCTTCAGTTCACTACACGGCAACACAGGGGTGGGGAACCTTTTCTCTGCCAAGGGCTATTTGGATATTTATGACATCATTCACGGGCCATACAAAATTATCAACTTAAAAATTAGCCTGCTATATTTGGTCAGATATTTAATTAACTCACCCTTAATGCCTTGGCAGGGCCAGACCAAATGATTTCATGGGCCTTATACAGCCCATGGGGTGGACATTCCCCACCCCCATCAGGACCACTGCTCTCCCTTCCATTGCTGTGCGAGGCAGAGGAGTATGTCAAAGGAGACACCAAAACGATGCACAAAATGGTACCTGGAGTCAGGCACACTGGGTTCAAAGTCCAGCTTTAGAGCAACTTTGGGTAAAAGTGCACCCTGCCTTTTTGCACCCAGTCTTTTCTCTGAATCTCAGTTTAAATCTGATTATTAGTGTTTCTGTCCCCCCCCCCCACACACACACACACCCCAATGTCAACAGCTACCACTTTGAATGGCTGTGTGTTGCCTTTGGGAGAAAGCCCCAAACCTGGCCACGGGATCCGGCCCCTTTTCCGTTCTCTCTCCCAGTTCTATCCCTGTTCTCTCAGGTCCGGCCGCAGT